GGGGTTGTCTTAAATTTTTTTTTTTTTTTTTTTTTTTTTTAAGACAGGGTCTCGCTATGTAGTTCAGGCTGAGTTGAGCTCACTATGTATTTGCGGCTGACCCTGAACTCACACTGATCCTCCTGCCTCAGCCTCCCGAGTCCTGGGATCACAGGTGTGTGCTACCACATCTGGCGGTTTAAATTCTGAAGCAAATTTTTGAGTGGAAAATGAACTGAACCACTTGTTAAGAGAATAAATATGGCAAAAACTGGCAGGAGAGTTTGTATTTAAATGAGATAAAACGTAGAAGGAAAAAGAGAAAATTACAGAGAGGATTTTGGAAAATCTTGAGCTTGTATAAGGAACCCATGCATCTCATCCTTTTTGTACACGCATTTATGATTACCCTCTTTCTCTGAAGCCTGACAATGACGGCAAAGTCCACTGTCAGCATGGCTGTCTGCAACATTATAGGATGGAGATCTATATTGTGTACCAATAAAAACGCAAAAAGGAGACTATTCGGAGGATATTTTAGGAGATAAAATTCACAAAATTTTGAGTGAAGAGACATCCTGGAGAAAATGATACCAAAGCGAACTTCTGGTTTATGGATTTCATGAAGAAATAACCTTTTTCGTCAAAATAAAAAGTACTGAAAGAGGAACACCAAGGAGGGTAGCGCAAGGGAAATCACAAGCTCAGGGTAACGTGGTGGAACCTGAGATGATACAAGGGTCGTTGTCAAAGGGCCTGAAAATCGCTTGTGATCTCGGGATCATGGGTGTGGCTCAGACCTCGTGGAGAGGGGCGAGAGTAAGATGAGGAAAAAGGTCTGGGCACAAACTGAAGAACTCTGACGCCGGCGGAAGAGAACGAGACTGTATATCATGCCCATTGGGAAGTCAGGCAGAAAACAAGACATCTCTACTAAAAGTAAGAGAAGGGACAGCTTCGGATGAAGACACTGATCAGCAGTGTCTATGGCACTGGGAAATCAAGGAAGATGTTACTTTGGCTACAGTGACGTCACTGATAACCGCAGCCAGGCGAGCGCGGTCCCCGCGCTGCAAATCCGAACGGAAGCTGCCGGCTGGATTTTCCCATCACCATGGCGGGACTCCAATTGCACGCAAAGTGGACACAAGGCCTCTTCAGCTTAATGCGCTCAAAAGAGGTCTTCTGATTTTTCTGCCTGAGACTTATTTCTTCAGCAAATACATACCGAGCATCCGCTGATACCCTGGAATTACAGCAAACATAATCACAGCTAACGTTCAGGTAAGAGCAAGAGGCCAAACACAGCAGAGAAGGCTTTCTGTTCAATGTGATTATAGAAAGTGCTGTCTTCTCCCACAAGCCCAGTGCCAAACCTGCTCAGAAAGAAAGACAGAAGGAAGCACGCAGACCAATCTCCAGATCAGACGTCTCCAGGACCTAGAGAAAGCTGAGCAACTAGAAGTAAAACCCAGGGAGTACACGATGTCTGGGAACTTCTTTGGTTAGCCTTTCATAAACTATCTATAATTTATATATACTGCATAAAATATGCATGTATACACCCGAGTGGTGGTGCACGCCTATAATCCCAGCACTTGAGAGGCTGAGGAAGGAGGAGATGGAGCTCAAATACTTCCTGGGCATTTTAGTAAGACTGCCCGGTGATATAGCACAACGTAAAGGCCCTGGGCTCAATTTACTGCACCATAAAATATATATATATAAGTATATATACTTATATAAAGTATATTGTTGTCCAGCACATGCTCCTAATCCCAGCCCTTGGGAGGCAGAGTCAGGAGGACTGCAGAGAGTCCCAGGCCAGCTTGGACCCTGTCTCAAAAATAAATAAATAAATAGTATCTTGTCCCAAGACAAAGTGAACGTGATTTCTTTCTTTTTTTTCTTTTCTTTTCTTTTTTTTTGGTATCAGGGATCAAACTCGGGACCTCGCATTTGCAAGGCAGGCACAGTGTCACTAAGCTAAATCCCCAGCCCAAAGTGAACATAATTCTGAGTGACTGAAATTTAAGACATAGTCCTATGAAATTAAAAAAATAAATAAATTTAATGTTAAAATTTTAATCTAATCATGAAATCAAAATTGTGAAAGTCTACCTTAAATATTAATCATAAGTATTAACTATATCATCTACCAAAAGCAATTAGCTTTTGGAATACAAGAATAAGCATTAGAAATTAATTTACCAAATATAATATTGATGTTCTTTTTTGGGGGGGGTACTGGGGATTGAACTTGGGACCTTGTGCTTGTGATGCAGGCGGCAGAACCACTGAGCTAAATGCCCGGCCCTAATATTGATGTTCTAAAGGCGAATACTCAGAACATTATGAGACCGAAAATGAAAGTAAATGCACATTCTAGAACTTACTTAATATTGATAAGATTAGATACACATAAGCACAGCCATGCAATGGCAATTCCTTCATTTCTTGTTGTTGCTTTTCTTTGTTTAAAGCTAATACATTTTCTATTAATTTCCTAGTTAATTCAAAATTAGCTAATGTGGTTTTGTAGATTGGTATCATCAAGGCAAATGAATGTCAATTTTTAAAAAATTTTTGTTTGTTTTGTTTTGTTTTTTGTAGTTGCCGCTTTTGTGTTACTATTCTTCTAAATAATGGATTAAATTACAAAAGGACCAAAATGTCAGTACATTGCTAATTCCTGGGAAAGTGACCTTGTGAGGCCACTGGAGCTAAGAAAGTGCCAAGTTGGAAAAAAACTCACAGACAGTGAAGGTCTCCTCTAACACAAAAATGGATTTCAAGCAAAGTTCTCCACACTGCCAAATTTACTGAAAGAAAAACACCTGCTGAATGCCAGCCCCAGCACAGGAATGCCGAGCATGGTCTGTCCACATGGAGGCCACAGCCAATGGGTTACTGTGTATAATAATTCGGCTGGCCGTTGTCCTTAGTCCCTGGGACAGAGCCTCTTGGAATTTCCAAAGTGATAGGAGTGATAGTTGTAGATTAGAGGCAAGCCCTTCTGACCACATCTAAGTTTCTGCTAACAAGCTGATCCATGGTGAGCCCCTAGGACTGGAGTCGGACAGGATAGAAAGACAGAGTGTGTGATCACAGAATTTGGGCTTTAAGCCACATGTAACCACCTAGACTTTCCAATCTCTAAGGAAACGGAGAAGGCCTGGGGATTGAGTTCAACCATGTGGCCAGTGATTTAAACAATGAAGTCTAGGTAAAGAAATTCTATTAGAAACTCTGGACACCCAAAGCTCAAGTCAGCTTCGGTTAGTAACACATACTCCTGTGCTGGAAACATAGTCTATCCTGAGGATGCAGAAGGCTTGTGTTGGAGACTCAGATCTCAGCCTATGTGCCTCTTCATCTGACTAGGTCTGTTTCTGACTTACTCCTTTATGATAGAAGTGTAATCCTAAATACAGTGAGTTCTGGAATTCTGTGAGTACCTCTAGGAAATTAAAAACCTACCGAGATAGTGAGATCCCTTGAATTTTTAGAGTTGGTCAGAAGGGCAGGTGGCTAGGACCTCAGAGTTTAAGCTGGTGTGTGGAGTGAGAGAGCTGTGCTCTCATCCTGTGGTAGTTGACCTAACTCTGGCTGTTTCTTGTCAGAATCGCACTACATACACATAAAAGCTAAAGCACCGTGCAGGAAATGCTAAGAGGAAGGCACTGAGACAAGACAGTGGGTGAAGGGGGAGGCATGCAACCCAGCCCCTTCCCTGAAGTTACTGAAAGTTTTCAGCCATCGCTGTTTGGGATGATCCTAAGAATGTTTGTGAATTTCTTTTTCATTACCAGGGATTGAACTGAGGACCTTACACTTGCAAGGCAGGTGCAGCACCACTGAGCTAAATCCCTAGCCCAGAATGTTTGTAAATTTTGAAAGTAAAAGAAGAAAATAAAATTATCCAAAGACAAGCATTTTTTCTTCTACATATCTTTCTGTAGTTTTGTATGTCAGGTATTATTACATACATCACTGTTTTCACTTTCATTGAATATGTCCTAAGCATTACCTCTTGACGTTAAAAACTCATCACATGGGCTAGGGATTTGCTCAGTGGTTCTGTCGCCTGCCTCACGAGTGCGAGGACCCAAGTTCAATCCCCGGTACCAAAAAGAAAAAAATTCATCACACATTATTATTTAATTTCAATGTTAGTAGAACATTTCTCTATGTCAGATAGAGAAAATGCAGTTTTTATAACCCTTTTCCTAATTTTGAGCTTCCAGGTTGTTTCTAGGCTTTGATATAATAAATAAAACTGAGATGAATATATTTACATAAACTTTTTTCACATTTCTGATTGTTTTCTCAGGATACACTTAATCTAAAGTTGTACAGTAAAAGGATTTGTCTTTTGTATCTCCTGAAATCTGATATTAAATTTATTTACAGAAATATAAATTTACATTTCTAATAAGTAGATGGTTATCTAATAGCATTCACTTGCCCAAACTAAAATGTTTACTTCAAAAATTTGAAAATTTAGGACTGGGGATTTAACTCAGTGGTTCTGCGGCCTGTCTCACAAGCACAAGGACCCAAGTTTGATCCCTGGTAACAAAAAAAAAAATTTTTTTTTAATTTCATATGGGGCCAGGGATTTAGCTTAGTGGCATCACATCTGCCTTGCAAGCACAAGATCCTGAGTTCGATTCCCAGTACCAAAAAAAAGAAAATTTCATATGACCCAAAATTTTATTTATTGTTTTTGTATGCGTTCCGTTGACTACTTCTGTGCTAGCTGAATTTTTTTCATGTCTGTTAGTTAACTGTATTTGTTCTGTTTTAGTACTTATTCTATGTATTCATTGGGATCTGAGTATTTTGTTTTAATTATTTGTTAATTATATCACATATAGTACACATGATAGTTATGCGTTAAAGACTGATGCTATAATGTTAAGGTGTTTTTCCTTTAGGAAGTTAAGAAGTTAACCCGTCATATTTGTTTTCTAATTTTTATGTTTTAAATACTTAAATTGTGAAGAGTCTACTTTAGGATTTGTTTCAGTAATTACACTTGTGATGGTGTGACAGGCATCCAGGCGGCCCTTCCAGAATAAACTTTCCGTCCAGTGACTAAGAGTCTGCTCAGCTGACAGCCTGTATTTGGCTAATGTTAAAGCCTTCCGGTTTTGCCTTAGTTTTTAAGCCGTGAGCACATTATTTTGGGTTTGTCTCCCAGCAATGGCTGAGTAACGCCATAGTGGAAAGTCTTCAATGTTCCCACCAGGACATTTGTAAATGGGCATTTCTTCCTAGCACAGGAGCCTGAAGACAGTTATCCTTATAAAAATGTCTGGATAATTTGTTCAGTCCCTGAACCTTAGCCATTGTCCAGATTCACAACTCAATGACCAAAAAGTAGCTATGTCCCAGGGGGTAAGACCCTGAGACACAACAGCAATTATAGAGCACATGGACTCCTCCAGTTCTTGTCCAAAGGCATCTATGGCCATTTGGCCCAGATAAAATGCACTGTGCAGAGGACTAGCAGAGAAAGGTTCTAAGTGGTCTTTAATACCTGAGACAGGCAATATTCCCGTGATCCCTTTCACTGGAGTGAGATCATAGAGGAATGAAGACGTAACGAAGCTCTGTCCACAGCTTAGTAATAGCAAGTCCTCTGGGTACACAACCCGCTTGGAGGTCAATTCCCCAGTTCCCAGTCTCTGGAAATATCATCCGACTTACTGCGCTCGATACACCCACATTTAGCTCTTCACCTAGAAGGTGAGCACTTATGTGAAAGGCCAAATGTGAAGTTGTTAGGTTGCTTATTATACCAAGCCCAGCCCATGTAGCAAATTGAGAACACCATCAATTCCAGGAAACTGGGTGTCAGAGAGTAGTGTCTTTTATAAAGAAATAAATGATCTTGGGATACTGGTCCCTATCATGCTCATTTCATTCATCAGTGTACTTCATAAAGATTCTGAACCGGTTCTTGAGAATAAGTGATATTCCAGCTTCTCCATTAAGATGTCGCCCAATCAAAACTACTGTGATATATGTTGTATCATTGCTAAAAGAGACTAATATAACTTTATATATGTGGTATACAGTTCTTAATGCAGGAAATACATTACTTTTTATTTCAAAGAAGACAGAGAATCACAAGCACATTTACAAGGAAATGACAGCAACACATATTTGTATTTCTTTCATTAAGTTTATTGGTACTTTTTAGTATACAGTACAGTTACATTCATCATTGGGACTTTGTACCTTTACATGACAGGTCTTGGTTCTCATTTTTTCCC